ACTGTTGGACCGACGACCACGCTGCTACGAACAACGGCATTCAATTCACACCCCGCTGTATATACAGTTGGGCGATGCCTAACACAGGCATAGTCCGATGGGAGGCTTCAAAAGCGGCGTAATGCGATTCGAGCTTCGTAACCGCAAGCCCATGTAAAACATGAGATTATCAACAAGATGGGCAATCTCACGGCGGCACCGACTGCGGAATACTAACTACAACNGATTCGAGCTTCGTAACCGCAAGCCCATGTAAAACATGAGATGATCAACAAGATGGGCAATCTCACGGCGGCACCGACTGCGGAATACTAACTACAACCACAACAAGACACAAGGTGGAAAATGAGTTGTACAGACACGACACGCTCTGCTGGTGATGACTTCACCAGAATGCAGTGTGACAAATGCCAGAACATGACCTGCCGCAGNTGGAAAATGAGTTGTACAGACACGACACGCTCTGCTGGTGATGACTCACCAGAATGCAGTGTGACAAATGCCAGCACATGACCTGCCGCAATAGCCCCGGGGTCTCCGCCAGGATGCCCACCACCGGCTCCAGTACCTACGATACCAGCAGTAGAGGAGAGTGCCAACACAGTCGTGTACACGGCAGTCAACAAGTTATGGGAACAACGTCAGGTGGTATGCACGAAAGACAAAACCGTTTGCTGCGGATGCTTGGAACGAGGAGCGAGATGGCTCTATGCGAACACAGTATGGTCAGCAGGGTTTCGGACAAGGAATGCTTGCGAAGAACCTGCTGCCAAGGCTATCTCATGAATTACTTGTCAGCGAGCAGCGCGTCCAATCCGCGTCGTAGACGACGATGACACATCAACAACGACAAAACAACCAGCCCTTGCGAAAACAAGCCCTAGCGAAAAAAATCCGCGGAGACCGAGATGTAGCTTTCGTTCCCTATCGTCGCTGTACGAAAACGGTATTTCGATACGTCATTTGCGGGCGTAAGACTTGGGTCGCCAAGACACATCAACACAAACGGCATACGCTCTTCTTAGGATGCCAACGAAAATTGCTGCTCCCGGCATTCCAAGCCAAGCGTCGAGGACATCCACCAAGCAAGCTTACGTTTGCTGCGGGTAGAAACACAAGCAATACAAGGGTCAAAACAAACAAACCCAGACGTTCCCCAGACCGTTTCGCATCCACGACGTTGTGGACACGGACAATCCTACCCGCCACCCCCGCCAAAATACGACAAGTCTCATGCGAGAGGTATGCGATACGTGTAACAAGGGGTTCTCTGAAACATACACGTGGCGGCCTTGAAGACGCTGGTGTGGAGGGAAACAACAGACTCGGACACTTCCGGCATTCACCGCAGGCGAACTAAATTACCGGAATGATAACATCATGAACAGCACACACCTACCTCCAGCCCGTCTTAGCTCCTACCCAAGCGGAGCAAGATGGAGGCCAACACCCCGTTCACGAGCACGACGCCGAGAGCTCCGAACGAGGACGAGTTGTCCCGGCTCCTGCCGTCAGCACGCGTCAGGATCGGCAACAGGGAGTTCAACTCCGCCATCACTTGTATTGCGGGAGAGAAACAAACAGTGAGACCGCTGTCTCGTCCATCCAACCTTGGAACAAAAATACTTGAGAATGATAATCGCGGTAACCGTAAAAGATGACAGGTGTGGGGGCGGGGAGGGGGAGGGGGGTGTGTGTTCCGGGCTAGAAGCACGAAGTACACAGTGACGTCGCGGCTCATGCCGTCAGGGTCGGGACAGGCGAGTCAACTGCATCCCGAATTAACAGTGTACTGGTTGCCATCGGAAAAAAGCAGAAGAAAATCAAACCAAATGTATTGGGGTGCCAGTTGTTGCATTCCATGTTGCCATGGAAACGGTTGCCTTCTATCGGCCGACAAGCGCGTCGTTAATAATTGTCGGTAACCACACTTGGTGTGTTCGCAACAGCGACTTCGACCCTTCGTTGTCACGGAGATGCAATCGCTCTGATCAAGCGAGGATGCGCCCTAAACTCCATGGGTATTCGGAAGGTCATTGGGTCCGGCGAGGCCTCATTTATGAATAGAGTTGCTGTTGGTGAAGACGTCCAAACCTGGTCCCGCTCTAGACGCACGGCCACTTTAACGAGCTGGTAAACCATATCCCGTTCTCGGTAGATGCTGTGCCGCTTTACCCGTGTCACCTCTGTTGGGGTGCCGTATAACACCTACAACGATTCTTCCATTACGTATCTGTGATGTCCTCCTTCGGCCCTCGTCTAGGCCGTTCTTCGGCATCTCGTATCAGGGTATCGATTCCTGCCGTTGTGTACACTTGGTCGGGTTCAGCCGGAGCCTGATATGTTACCACATCCTGAGCGATATCAACGCGGCTTACCGAACGAGTTAAAGGGATCCCGGCGCTGGCATACCCCAATGGCTCATGGCTGATCAATTTCCTCGCCATTCCCGGTAGAGCGGGCATTGAGTGAGGGTTGGCGACGGGCGAAGGTGCCCATGTCGTGATGTGGGTATCGTCCAAGAAAAGCGAACTCCGCCAGGTGCAGCTTCTCCAAAACTAGGATCATCTTCGACTCGGACACGATGACGTTCCGGGCTCCACGCGACAAGCTCGATACATTTTATCAGCTGATTCAGATGCTGTAGCCGACCAGGGTTTGCCGTAACGTGCGCCACAACTCATCGCAGGCAAGTGCACGACTATGACCGTTTCGATTCGGCCGGCGTCCTTGTAGAGGCATGCTGCGTTCGCCGTTCTGGTTTCTGTGCACCAGACTGGCTTCGGCTGGGACAACCTTGCGGGGGAAGTCACCACGACTTCCTCGGAAAGTTCAAGAGAGCTGGCCGTCCCTCGCGAGGGCTTTGCAAGAAGGCCCACGGCAGCAGGCGAGAAGATTCCTCGCCTAGCCGGACGGGTCCTTGGGCGCGCCACCCCTTGGGTGGGGGGCTATCATCAACGCCATGGGCCCGCCGTACCGACCGGTCGGACGTCACGTATGATGAGCCGCGCACACATATCAACAAGGTCGAGATGATTGCATTGGGAACTCCTGCTTCGGCTCTTTGGCGTCTGCTTTCAGACGCATTTCCAACGAACGCAGGTGCCAATCTATGTACACGACACGGCGGTGTTGGGGTCGTTCCATCGGGGGCGCGCGTGCGACCCGGAGACGCACGAACTGCTGATGCAGCTGTTTGAGCTGCAAGTGGAAACAGCTTATGTTGTCGCTAAAGTGGGTGTCGTCCATCAACAACGGTGTGGAGGGGGCCGTGTCAAGGCCTTCCAGGAAGCCCATGATTCGGGTAGATCCCCAAGCGTTTCGGCTTGTGCGGTATGCTATGGGCCCGTCCATCATGGTCGCCATGGCGTCGGATGCGGCGATCCAGTGCGTCCCTGCCACTTGGGGCAGCACTCCGGTTTTCCTCGAGGTATGACCGCGAAGCGTCATCCGGGGTAGACGTACTTGAGCAAAACCAGTCGTGGTACCCGGGGACAGGGGCAGCAGGATACGGGTACGGATTTCCTACGCCCGTTGTGAAGGGTCGCGCTGGGCACCACTCGCAGGTTAGGCGCACGCCATCATCGTCGTCCAGGACACAATTGGCGTTATGGTTGCCGTGGGTGCAGCACTCCGCTGAGTAGTATCGTGTAGTAGCTCCGACATGCAATGCGTGTGGGGGTTCGCATACTTGCTGACACCCTCAAGAAAGTGGAGGTACTCGGGGTGGTCGGCGGTGGTGGGGCTTTTGTGTGACATGCCGCCGCGTGACTTGCGCATTCGCTGTGAGACTCGTCGCGGAGTCCACCCTACGATATTTACTAACAATGGCCACATTTTCTTCCGGCTTCCGTTGACGAGGCAAATTGGCTTGAATACCCTGGCCCTTGCCTCTCGAGAGCGACAAGGCCAAGATCTCTTCCTCTCCAAGGGTTGGCAGATCCTCAAGAGCTCCGAGCCGCAAGAACTGATCTCCAGTTTCCATCTCGGCAAGCTACAGTATTGCGGGACTCCACGGAAGCCGTGCTCGTACAGCCGGGCGACCGATCGGGACGCGCGCGCGCTCACTTCGAGAAGCTACTGCGAATCATCGGCAGCGAAGGACATCGAATGGAACCTATCTCAAGGGTACTTGCTCCTCGTAGTGCAGGAGGGCGGGGGGCGGGGGAAGTATCCGCAGGCCGCTGCCCAAACGACGGCAGCCCTGAACAACCGTTCTGTCAGGCGGGGGTGCCAAAGCACAATGCGCTCCTTCCGCTGGATGGCACGACGATGGATGCCATCGGAAAGATGGGCGACGGAGTACGGAGACCGACGCGAAGCAATACATGGGAACCCCAATTAGCACGACGGCGCTGGGCTTAAAGTGACCACGGGGCCAGACCTACGCTGACTCGAACTATGCCCCGTAATTGACCCAATATCATCTCCGCGTGGGCGCGGCAAGGAGCAAACCAGTAATGTTCAAAAAGGTTGGGCGGAGCCGTGATGCCCTAAACACGAACGACGAGGTTGTCAGTTTCATTCGGCTGTGAGCCAGAGAGACATGGGCTGGGAAACAGACCGATGCAGGAGGTCTCACCAAACAACACACATTGCTTCAATAAGCAATCCGAGTAGAGGCAACGACATATCCTGTCCTATTGAGTGCACCTTGATCAGTCCGTCGAGATATTGGCGTGGTTCGGAATTCCATCCTTATTCCGTTTTCGGCTCAGTTGCAATTCGGAGTGCCTCGAATTTCTGCGTTGGATTGCAGAGAAGTCTGGGGGTAAACCGGTGGCTGCACCATACTGATCCGGAACGGTCATCGGTACGACACAGGTTGCGTGCAGACACCGCCGGCGAGTCAGCGACGGCGCGGTGGTCAACAGTCAGAAGCGCGTTCATCTCTCCTTGGTCGGGCGGCGGTTTTGGAGGAGTGAGGGAGTTGGGGTGGCAGCGGCGGCCCCCCAGCCGCCTGTTCCCGCCGTAAGGACAAACGAGTCGTCCGACCCTAAGACGATTTCGGCGTGGGGATCTCAGGCCACTGGTGGAGTCTCGGGCGTGCACGCTGGGTGTGTCGATACCGATGCCGCTGGAACATGGCACCTGTCAGACTTGTCTGCACCGGGAGCAGCCGAGTCGGCCATGTACTCAGGGCCGGAGTCTGCGGTGTACGCAGGGCGAGGTGTTGCGAAGGCGGATCTGCTCGGCTTTCTCAGCGGTACGTTAAAGGGCTCTTTAAATGATGGGGGGGGTCGAGTGTCAACAGTGACAGTTTCGCCATCGTCGTGAGCACATGCAAGAGGCTGGACTACATGCGATGGGAGAAGTGTGGGAATTCATACCAACCACCGCAACCTGGCACACCTTTGATCCTGATTCGTCCGTGTCGTCGTTGCCCTAGACCACTGCCCAGAGTCTGAAGCAGTGTGCGATGGTGCTGGCGCAGTTGGAGTATTACACCATTCAACATATCGGGCAAGAGGGACTGCTGGAGGGACGTGGTGTCGAGGTGGGTCGATATTCCGGTGGTAGGTTTGGGTTTGTTCTGTGTGTGCCGAGCGAATANGGGAGAAGTGTGGGAATTCATACCGACCACCGCAACCTGGCACACCTTTGATCCTGATTCGTCCGTGTCGTCGTTGCCCTAGACCACTGCCCAGAGTCTGAAGCAGTGTGCGATGGTGCTGGCGCAGTTGGAGTATCACACCATTCAACATTTCGGGCAAGAGGGACTGCTGGAGGGACGTGGTGTCGAGGTGGGTCGATATTCCGGTGGTAGGTTTGGGTTTGTTCTGTGTGTGCCGAGCGAATTATAGCAGTATGTCTGCCGTCAACAGAGGTACTACGACGGTGTCAGCACGGCGGGCAAACAAGCCAAGACCCATGTCGTAGGGCGCACGAGCGGGCAGGTTTTCAGGGCGCCGCATGGAATTGCCCTGAAGCACGAAGAATGAGTTTCTGCACCAAGATGAAGGGACGTGCGTGGATTCCTGTCGAGGCGAAGCACCCTACAACAAAGTTTGTGCTCATGTGTGGAGACCCGGAAATCGGGGTGTGGTGACAATATGCAGGGGATACAAGGGAGAAGCTGCTGGTTTGGGATGGAGAGGCAGGGGGAAGAGCGTGTCACACAGAGTGGTAATATTGTGTGGATCCAATGCTGGCGACGTGGTTCCTAGGCCAGGGTTTGGGCTAGTATGGGGCGAGTGACTTCGTTGGTGGCGAGAGCAGATATCGTCTATGTATGAATGAGTGTAAATTAGCGAGAGTGACACGGCGCGCAGGGGGCTCCGATGCGGTAATTCGCGGGAAATGGGCTATGTAGTACGTCGGCCGAGTTGAAAGCCTGTTTTCAGCATGCGTAAAATCAGGGTGGGCGCAACATGCCGGCTCTCGTTAGCATTGGCTAACATGCCATGGAATGGATACGTGTCAGAGCAGACATGGGTCGCCGTTAGCAATAACATGGGAGGGAGGATGCTCCGCCATTCGGAAGATAGCCTGGGCGCGTCGACCAGGCATTCGTGCTACATGTATGTTGCAGCTAGAGCCGGAACATTGGTACCG